TGTCAAGGTGTCAATATGTCATATGTCAGGTGTCAATCCATATTGATTGTGATTTAGGAATGTTAGGTGATTTCTGCTCTTTATGGATTAAAACCAGACTCTGTATCAACTGTGTAATTTTCCATGGGAGTTTTGCCATGGATCCCCCTCCGGCATGCCACAGTCCAGGTGTTAGTCCCTTGAAACAACTTTTCCATCCCTATTGTGGCCAGAAAGAGTCCCTGTGTGTTTTAAAATTCGCCTCCCCATTGAAGTCAATGGCGTTTCGGGCGGTTCGCCGGTTCGCGAACATTTGCGGAAGTTCGCGTTCGCCGTTCGCGAACCGAAAATTTCGGGTTCGCGACATCACTATTAAGGACACATGACGGAAATATTCCGTCATGATTCCCTTTTATTCCAGAAGTTGTGTCCTTAAGGGGTTAAAGCAAAGAGTTGCCCACTGTTATGCTTCCTATGGATATGGAGTGGAACTCAACTGCAGAAATATAGTTAGGAGAACCCTTAGGGTTTTTAGAATAGTAATTAGAAATTAGATGGAACAATTCCTCATTAAGGAGTTTTACGAAAAGGAGGATTGCAGAGAAAAGTTCTTGTAATTTAAAAGAATACAATACGAAGATAATTTGAAGATAACAGTTCATGAATCTTTACTGAACACAATAGAAGATAGTTTGAAGATAACAGTTCATGTAACCTTAATTAATACAGTATGAAGGTAGATTGATGAGAAGAGTTCATGTAGCTTAAGCAATACAATATGAAGATAGATTGGTGACATGAGTCCTGTAACCTTAAGGAACACTACATGTAGATAGTTTGATGAGAAGAATTCCTGTAGCTTTAATGAAACAATATGAAGATAGATTGATAAGAAGAGTTCCTGTAGCTTTAGAATACAATAGGTAGATGGTTTGAAGAGAAGATCTCTTGTAGCTTTAAGGAACACGACATGCAGATAGTTTGATGAGAAGAGTTCCTGTAGCTTTAAGGAATACAATATGTAGAGTGTTTGATGAAAAGAGTTCCTGTAGCTTTAAGGAATACAATATGTAGAGGGTTTGATGAGATGAGTTCCTGTAGCTCAAGAAGAATGTTTTATTATGGCCTAGTGGCCAGCTTATATACACAGACCCCCATACACAGACTTACTTGTACAGTAAGCCCACCCAGGTGCCTCTGTGTCTGGGAGATAAGAGAGCTAGCTTTTGTTTAATCTAATTATCTCCTAGGCACTAGAGGTACAAAATATTTTACAAAACCCTCAAAATATACATAACACATATATGAACCAACATAACCTAACATATCCAAATAGTGCTCATATCCCACAAACACAGCAAATCGCTACGGGGATAAAGTTTTGACCAACCACACACGTGGCGTAGGCCCAAATTGGTTCCAGAGAAATAGTAGTAGTCTGTCACTTTCGGGAGTTCAGAAACGAATAAAATGTTGAATGGTTCCCCTGGCTCATAGGTAACGATTGTTCACCTAGTTCGTGCGAACAATCCTACTGAACAGCACTCTCCCGTCTTGTTGGGAAAAGAAGCAGGTGTTGATGCAAGATCACCGAGGTTCGCACAAGGATGTATCTGACTTTGAGTTCCATACGCTCGATGACCAAGTGCCGCTGCCTGCGTTTGTTTGACAAGATGGAGAGCACTTACGTTTGTGGTTAGTTTGTAGCTAATGAGCCAGGGGGTGGTCGGTGTTCGGTAGATTGCAGCTCCCAAACTGGGAAAACGTGAATGGGGTTCGAGGAACAAAATATACGAAATAGAAGGGAAATGTCTTGAGCACAGGATAAATAGTGAGTTTGTCACACCCACTATTTTAACTCTTATAGACTCTGGAGTACATTTATAAGAGGATTTGTATCTCACACATTAATCACAATCGATTATAAAGATATAATTTATTGTGACAAATAATTAATAATAATATGTAACATGTATGACAATAATCAGTGAATATTTGGTATAACAATAGTATAACATGTGACAAAAACGATAGCAACAATAACCACAACAAAGATAATTTCTAGATCACTTATCCACCAGTAGGATCAGTGTACTTAGCAAGAATTAGCACAGATTTTCAAGGCACATGAATAATCAATAGCTTATTAGTAACAGTATCCAGCAACATAAAGTTAAAGTAATTTCCAAAGGAGTTACATGCAAAAATTACACATAATTACTCTTGAATTTAATTGGCAATTATTTTTAACATAGATACATAAAAAAAATAATTAGAGTAATGCTGTAGGAATCTTATAGAGCTCATCTTAGAGTTCCATTACACACACAGAATGTTACACATCGCACAGAGTTTTAAAAATGATGCTGACAATTATTTAGGATCAATACACAGAGAATTAACTCACTTACTGCTGGCTACAATTCTCACAAAGTAAACACTTAGACATTGCTAACAAATATACAATGTATCATCTCACAAATAGTCAACTTAACTATTCTTTACCATCCAATAACCATAAAAAAATCTTAAGCCTTCAAATTGCTTCATAGCAGTTCTTTAACTTTTCCGTGATTTATCAAAGATAAGTCAATATTTTTGGATAATAGCTTGACATGCTAAACTTGGCACATTACCAGTAAATATATTATTCTTTTTATCCCAGTCTGATATATAGAATGGTGTATTTCTTAGCTAAATATGATTTCAATGTTTTTTTCTGCTTTTAGTAAAATCTAAATACATTAAATTAAACAAGCATATTGACTACATTTCTAAGTAGAATATTCTTTAGGTATTCTGGAGATATAATCCAATGGAAGGTGAATGCAAGTACAGGGGCGGATCCAGAGTCTGATCTCGGGAGGGGCACTTGTAGATTATTAAACAAAATAATCCAGACACAATAACCACTACAGCTCTGTGTAGTGGTTATGGTGCCAATAGTGCCAGGACCCCCTCCCAGAGTAAGTAGTTAAACCGTTTAAGAACAGTTTGACAACTTACCTGAGGTCTGCTGGGAAATGGGGCTGTAGTAGGGAATAGGAGCAGTGTGTGTGTGTGTGTGAGTGGTGCAATGTGTGAGAGGTGCAGTGTATGTGTGAGTGTGTGGCAATGTGTGTGTGGGGGGGTCAGTGTGTGTGTATGTATGGGTGGCAGTGTATGTGTGTGAGGCAGTGTGTGTATGGGGCAGTGTGGGAATGTGTATGGGGGGCAATGTGTGTGTTATAAGAAGGATAGGGGGGCTTTTTTATAATGTGTTTTTTTTTAATTTAATTAAAATAAATATACTTTGTGTCCCCTCTCCCTTCTTACCTTTACTGAGGGAGGAGGGGGGACATTTCTCTATCCCTGGTGGTCCCAGTGGTGAGAGTGAACTCTAGCGCGCAGATCCAGGGCTAGAGTTCACTCTTGCGAGATCTGGAGCGTTGCGAGAGAAGGACCTGGAGGAGCTGCAGGCCAAGTTCCCAGGTACTCTCTCCCTCTCCTGCCGGCTGCTAGCACTGTGCCTGCGAACTGCGGAGAGAGATCTCTGATCTCCCCTCCGGTCGGTGAAGGCACATTGCAGGGCTGGCACTTCGATAGCGCTAGCCAGCCAGCAGGGGAGAGGGAGACCTTCGGTATGCTTGGTTTTCTCTGGGGGAGGGGCAATTGCCCCGTTGCCCCCCCTGGATCCCTCCGTGTGCAAGTGAGAGTGTTTAGGGATAGAGTAATTAAGAATAGAAGTGCTGTAAAATTTCCAAAGTTGATGTGGCTACAAAAATATGTAAAAGTCCCAAGAATTCTAGATAGGAAAAATAGCGTATTAGAGTAAGTATTCCCAGGAGTGTGATGCAAGGGTGTGTCCGGAAGTGTGTTCCTTTAAGAGTTTCAGAAGTCCTTCCTCCTCTTTTTCTGTTGGTCCTTGAAAAGTGTTGTGTTCTCACTTTTAAGGAATTCCTTATCATTCATTTCTTTATGTCACCAATTTAAAATGACCAATGGGACTAGATGTGTACCTTATTATAATGATTGTTTTTTTTTTTTATCAATTATAAGCAGAAGATGGCGTCATTGCAATAATTTCCATTCCTAATTCCAATTACCACTTTGTCTAATGGGTTAATTGAAATCCATGACAAAAATGACGTGGAACATTGTTATCACTATAGCCACTCCATCATCGATGGCTGTCACATATCAAAGGGTTCTGGTAGGTATTTGCTAGGCCAACAGCTGCCTTTTTGTGCCATAAAGTATATATTTGATGCATCTGCACTTTGGTTCAACTTTTATAATGGGGTCTTGTATAAGTTCCATTGATATAGACTTCTTTCATCAGTAAAATTAATTATTGGGAAGGAGTATATCTTCTTATCTGTATGCATGGAGCTAAGTGTGTATTAGTCATACGTCATAATATATGATTTATACATGTCAGTTACACACATTAGTTTAATAATAATGAGATCTGTTCATTAGGATTCTATGAATATTTTGAAATTAACATAGATATTATTTATATATAATTGAACATAATTATATGTGTGTGTGTATATATATATATATATATATATATATATATGTATATATGTATATATATATAGAGAGAGAGAGAGAGAGAGTGAGAGAGAGAGAGATTGTAGCCTTATTCAGTCCAGTGATGTAGATGTAAAAAAACAGATAAAATGTGTATCTTGTAATACCTTTTTTACTGGACTAACATAATTTTTTAATGAAAAGCTTTCGGGAGATCTCCATTTCTCAAGTCTGAAGCATTTCTAAGCAAGATGACACATAGAATTCAAAGTTGAGGTGTGATACAGGGGTTAAAGTGACATGAGTGAAGATAAGACAGGTTTGCTAGAACATAGACAACATTCTTCAGATTTATGTAAATATTTTATTATATCTTTTCATGTGACAACACTGAAGAAATGACACTCTACTACAATGTAAAGTAGTATTTGTTTTAAATCTCTTTTATTGTATTTTTAAGCACATAATAAATCAGGCACAGTTCAAAGAAGGTTAGAAGCTTACATTTGCCTACGCAGAGGCCTATAAGGTCAGCAAAGTATCATAACAGAATATCAAAATGGCGCAGTCAGGCATTAAAAATATTCTGCGAAAACATTTGTGACTGCACCCGGTTAAATCTGATAGTTATATAAATTCACTATCATTAAATGAGACCTGTAGATAATCTGGTGGCAGCATGCGTCAAAGAAGTGGCATGTTAGTAAGCAGGCATAGCGACCTATATCTGTGTATGTTAGCAGGTCTTAATAACCATATGATTCCAATTGCAAATGTATGTGACCATGCATGCGTATTGTAGGAATTTAATATTGAGCAGCATAAAACATGGTGTAGAGTGGCTCTAACAAGTAGATATCAAAGATATGCTGTATGTGATAGTTAATCATGTAATACTAAGTTATGATGGTCCGAGGTTAATATGGGTGAAAAAGGTTCACTTTTAATTAACTGTACATGCAAGAGTAATTATCTGCAGGTATCAGTTGTAAACATAAGAGAATAAAGGTCGGGTTGCGTAGGTCTGCTTAGGAGAACTTAACTTGTTGCCACATAACAGCACCTAATTAGATCTGAGCAAATAAGCCTGCTACCTTCAAAGTTTAGGGATGGCCCTTTTCGTTACAACAGCTATTTAAGCAAGACATGAGGCATGCAGCTAAATTAAGAAACCCAGCACTTTACGACATAGTAGCTCAGTTGCGCGATAGTATTAAACTGATGTGTGACCAAAGCATAAAACACTTCAGAGCGTAGTAAAACATAGCCTGAGTAGGTGGGATGAGGCATTATGCTGAGGAATTAATGATATGCGTTGTGTTATGTTTCCAGGTAACGTATGGCTATAGTGTGCGTCAAATAAAAGCAGGTATATTCCTAAAGAGTGTGCCATTACTATGATAATTAGCATAATGTCTAAAACAAAAGCTCTGTATAAAATAAACAAAAGAAAAAGAATATGATAACATAATTAATATCTGATGTTAAATCCTCAATATAGAGGGGTTAATAAACCGTTACTGAGATGAATGACTGTGAAACATTCTCTTTTTCCTTATACCCACTTTGTTATTTTCTCTGTTCCTTGCTTATTACACCATGTTCTAAATTATTATGCAAATTATATTTTTCTAATTTACCTAAATAATTGATGTAAATAACAGTCAGCATAATTCTCATGTTATCAACTATTAAGAGTACAATTCAAATTTTATTGAACAAACCTCCTAATGATAACAGTATTTTTTTTAAACATAAAAAACTTACAACACACTGTTTCAAATTATTACGCACAGTAAGTTTCCAAACACTTTATAGGTTTTAAAGAACTGAAAATTGTCATTTGTTGTGTTTGCAGCATATTTACTGAAATCAAAAGCTATTTCAATCAAACTTATAACAACATTTTAACTTTTTAAACATTTTAACAGGTCACGTTACATTTTAACATAGGACCTCTTATTTGATAGCAGCTTCACAAGTCTGGCATCCATTGAACTTGTGAGTTTTTGCTTGAATTTGTTTGCAAGATGTCAGAATAGCCTCCAAGAGCTGCTGTTTGGATGTAAACTGCCTCCCACCCTCATAGATCTTTTGCTTGAGGATGCTCCAAAGGTTCTCAATAGGATTGAGGTCAGAGGAGAATGGAGGCCACACCATGACTTTCTCTCCTTTTATCCCCATAGCAGCTATTGATGCAGAGGTATATTTTGCAGCATGAAATGGTGCATTGTCATGCATGAATATGATTTCATTACGGAAAGCATAGTTCTTGCTTCTGAACCAGGGAAGAAAGTGGTCAGTCAGAAACTCCACATACTTTGCAGAGGTCATCATAACACCTTCGGGGACCCTAAAGGGGCCGGCCAGCTCTCTTCCCATGATTCCGGCCCAAAACATGACTCCACCACCGCCTTGCTGACCTCGCAGTCTTGTTGGAACAGGGTGGCCGTCCACCAACCATCCACTACTCCATCGATCTGGACCATCCAGGGTTGCACGGCACTCATCAGTGAACAGGACTGTTTGAAAATTAGTCTTCATGTATTTTTCTGCCCAATGCCGCCGTTTCTGCTTGTGAGCTTAGGTTAATGGTGGCCGAATAGAAGGTTTATGTACAGTTGCAAGATTCTGGATGACTCTACACCTTGATATCCGTGGGACTCCAGAGGCACCAGCAGCTTCAAATATCTGTTTGATGCTATGTAATGGTATTTTAGCAGCTGCTCTCTTGATCTGAGGCATGGATCTGGCAGAATTCTTCCTCAATGTGCCTTTACCTGCACGAACCCGTCTGTGCTCTGAATCAGCCACAAATCTCTTAATAGTGCGATGATCATGCTTAAGTTTTCGTGAAATATCTAATGTTTTCTTTTTTTTTGTTAATCAGAGTTTTATTAGCAGTTGGGTACAAAAGATTTAGGGCTCGCAGGCCCACATCAATCAAACAGTGAAGGTAACAATTTTGAAGTATAACATATACATGTACATATGCAGGGATGTTCCCTGTTCCAATACACAAGCAATGACAGGGTATAATTATGTTTATTTTCTAAAGCATGGATGGCAAAATATTGTCGTCTCAGTATATCCTGGAGTTAGGGGCTTCCAGGTAAAGCTAGAGCTACATGGGTATGGTAGCGTTCATAAGTACTCTAAGGATGCGGTTCCTTGATTGGAATTAATCCAGAGTAGTTGTCGATGATTGTATGTTGTGTGTTTCGGTGTGAAGGATGGTGTTCTAACTAGTGGTCATGTGTAGGAGTGTGTGATGTCTGTCTGATACTAAATCCACAGTGTAGGGACATGGAGAGTGGTGGGAAGAGATCCGTACGTACCCAGGGCTTAGTGTAGTCAGTGCACCCCCTTTTAATCCATCTACAACAGACGGTGACCCCGTCCATATGGCAATCGAGTTGTTTCTATTGAAGTGGGCCTGTTTGGTCGGTTGTGCGAGGTTTGCGTCCTCTTCCCGTGGGTTAGAACCCGTCCGAGTTGGGTGCGATAGCTAATAACCTAGTTGAGGTTCTTGTTAGTTATCATGAAATATTTAATGTTTTCATACCTCGTCCAAGGCATTGAACTATTTCACTTTTTTCGGCAGCAGAGAGATCCTTTTTCTTCCCCATATTGCATGAAAATGGTGCTCTGCTTAATAATGTGGAACACCCTCCTTTAGTAGTTTTTCCTTAGATTGGGCTCACCTGGCAATCTAATTATCACAGGTGTCCGAGATAGTTTTCAGTGATCAAAAGAGCCCTGAGACGCAATGCCATCCACGAGTTAAACTGAAAAACAAAATATTTAATCTTTGTGACACTTAAATGGAATTTGCATAATAATTTGGAACAGGGTGTAGACTTCCCAACATACAAACAACTCCTTGACAAGCGTTCAGAACTCCCTATCCTACTTGGCCTCTAAACCAAACTCTTGGTGACAAAAAGCCTATATTACACTCAACTTCCCTCCCCTATTGCAAGCCATAGACCGAGACCTGAAAACATGGCACTTACCTCGATTCGGATGGCTATGGAGGATAAACATAATCAAAATGAATGTTCTACCCAAACTCCTGTATCTGCTGTATTCGAAACTCACCCAAACATTCCCAGATGCCCTTCCCACATATACTACCAAATGTTCAAATCTTCGTTACTCAAACATGTGCTGACGGCAGCTAACCAACTCATTCCAATATTTTGTAAAAAAACAGTCTATAAGAGACTGATATACAAGGTAGAAAAGATCTGTGAAGGAATAACCCCATCATTTTCATCTCCTTTCGCAGAAATGGATTACTATTTAACTTTGTTAGTTTATTTTGGTTTGGTTCCCGAACAAAGACCCCCCCAGAGACCCATTAGAAGGTGGAACGTTGAGTATCTTATATGAAAACCACAACAGAACTAATTAATAGAATGCTCCACTGGATGGCCGCCATTTCGTGCAAGTGAACGCATGTAGTCGGGACAATGGACGGTGGCAATCTTTTTTCTGGAATGCATGCAGGCAGCGGGACTTGTCCATCGAGTGCCTGGAACTAATTTCAGCCAGGCACTCCCGTGAACACTGGTCACTATGGACCTGCTACCTGTTCCAGTCGTGCTACACCTGCACAAACGGCGCTCGGGAGATATGGACTACTGAACATTCTACACTGATCCGCTTTCATCTAACATATGGGTTTTCGTACAAAAACCCACAAATGGAGAATGGCTCTTGCCACAACTTCCCTGGAACTATTTTGGGCTTCAACCTTGTGGCTGACCGGTCAAAACTTCCCTGTGGTGGCGATCCAAAACTACAGAATGGATCTAGGTGATTTTTGGATATATTGTTTGCCCAGATACCAGCTACCCAGGGACTTTTGTTGGGTTTACATGTATTTTGTGTGTACTTTGGGGTGGTTAAAAATTGTTACGATTTTCTGTCCCTGAGAGATAATGTAATTATAAATGTGTATTCAGGTAATTACCTCTCAGGCACAAAGGATCCTGGGAGGAATTTCCGTGCATTTCTGTGTAAGAAACCCCATGTTGGGGCTTTTGCATAAAAGGCCGTGTGTCGCCCTGAAAAAACAGTCTTCTCCCAGCCTTAACCTTGGCTCATGTGTGGGGGGTTATGCGACACCGGCAACATTACACTGTGGCAAAACCGACCTCGCCACTGGGCATTGGAGAAGACTGATTGCCAGCCTCCTGCCATGTAACTATGGCCCCTGGGATGTATTGCCTTTTAAAGACATTATTTGGGCTTATTGGATTTTGAAACACCTTTTCTGCCCCTTTGAATACATGAGAAGGTGTGCCCCTCCCCCGTTTCCTGTCCCAGGGACACTGCCAGACCAGTTGGAACTTGTTGCTATGGTTTAACCCCATGGCGATTTGACTGTGTTTGTGGCATCTGAGCGCTGTTCGGATATAATGAGCGCTCAGACCCAAGCTATCTGGGGATAGGTTGAATGTGGGGGTTCTGTTAAGTATAATAGGAATTATGTATTTTTATGTGTTTTTAATGTTGTGAATAGAGCTATTTTCTGTATGCTGGAGGTAATTGGCTTACCACACCCAAGCCATGCTTGCAGGCGGTCACAAAGGGATTTCCAACTAACTTTTGACCCACTGGACCAATTTGTATGATTTTGACGTATGTTTGTATTTGGAGTATGCTGATTCTGAAAATGTAAATGTTTTATGTGAATGTGATGTATACTTCTAGAGTTATGAATATTGTGTAAAACTGTGTATTTTCCTGCCTGTGATAATTATATTAGACCATTGTGTTCAGTAATTATATCACAGGCAGAGGGGAGGATTTTGTGTGGGAGTGTCTGAGTGTATTGTACGTATTGATTGGTTGTTCTGCAAATCCAAGTGGGCAGTAATATGTGTGTAAAATGTGCATAAAAGCAGAGTGTTTGCTTAAAAGCTTCAGTTCTTCTTCAATCTAGAGTCCTGTCTCTTATTGGGGGAATTGCTATATCACTAGTGATGCACCGAACGGTTCGCTGGCGAATAGTTCCTGGCGAACATAGCATGTTCGCGTTCGCCACAGCAGGCGAACATATGCGCGGTTCGATCCTCCCCCTATTCGTCATCATTGAGTAAACTTTGACCCTGTACCACACAGTCAGCAGACACAATCCAGCCAATTAGCAGCACACCCTCCCTAGCAGACCCTCCCACCTACTGGACAGCATCCATTTTAGATTCATTCTCAAGCTGCATGCTTAGTGAGAGGAGGGAAAGTGTAGCTGCTGTTGATTAGATAGGGAAATGCATAGCTAGGTTAGGGTATACAGTGTCCACTACAGTCCTGAAGGACTCATCTGATCTCTGCTGTAAGGACAGCACCCCAAAAAGTCCTTTTTAGGGCTAAAACATCAGTCTGCTTTTTTTTTCTGTGTAATGTAATTGCAGTTAGTTGTCTGCCACTGCTGCCAGCTTCTGTGTCAGGCTCACAGTGGATACTGTGCCCAGTGCCACCACTCACTCACTGGTGTCACAATAGCTTGCATTTAAAAACAAAAATTGTTTTTCACTGTTATAGATTGAATAGCAGTTAGTTGTCTGCAAGCTTATGTGTCAGGCTCACAGTGGATACTGTGCCCAGTGCCACCACTCACTCACTGGTGTCACAATAGCTTGCATTTAAAAACAAAAAACTTTTTTCACTGTTATGGATTGAATAGCAGTTAGTTGTCTCAAAGCAGGTGTGTCAGGCTCACAGTGGATACTGTGCCCAGTGCCACCACTCACTCACTGGTGTCACAATAGTTTGCATTTAAAAACAAAAAACTTTTTTCACTGTTATAGATTGAATAGCAGTCAGTGTCCTTAAAGCGGGTGTGTTAAGCTCACATTGGATACAGTGCCCAGTGCCACCACTCACTCATATCTGGTGTCACAATAGCTTGCATTTAAAAACAAAAAACTTTTTTCACTGTTATAGATTGAATAGCAGTTAGTTGTCTCAAAGCGGGTGTGTCAGCCCTACAGCGTGTACTCTGCCAGTTTACAGTGCTACTCATATCTGGTGTCATAATAGCTTGCATTTAAAAACAAAAAACTTTTTTCACTGTTATAGATTGAATAGCAGTTGGTTGTCTGCAAGCATCTGTGTGTCAGGCTCACAGTGGATACTGTGCCTGGAAAAGCCATCACCACCACTGGTGTGTCACAGTAGAAGCTTGGATTTAAAAACAAAAAACTTTTTTCACTGTTATAGATTGAATAGCAGTTAGATGTCTCAAAGCGGGTGTGTCAAGCTCACAGTGGATACTGGTGCCACCACTCACTCACTGGTGTCACAATAGCTTGCATTTAAAACCAAAAA